TTTTTTTCTATATTTATTTTACTAAATTTGTAAGTCCATAGAGCATGTAATTTTCGTCAAATTGATTAATAACTGTACTTGTTTTCCATTGGCGCGTTCAACTTTCTTTTTGTTTCTCCATCTCGTTTCATATTTTTGTTCTCTCAAATTTTTCGTTTTTTTTTTTTTTTTCATTTTGCCAACTTCTATCAACGTGCCCACATCTTCAACTTGTAGTTATCCCCGCACGTCTCTCCGCCTCCGCCAGCAGCTCCTTCACTCCTCGCCAATCTTCAGCACGCTGCGCGCGCTGTTCTTCGCCGTTCTGTTTTGTTTGTTTCTTTATCGCGCATTTACCAAGTGCCAAAGTTTTCTCGTTATAAGTTTTGTAGCCTTTGTGTGTCTCTCGCGCGCTCATCTCGCAGTTCGCGCGGCTCTCAGCGCCGAGGCTCGCAGTTTGCAGCTTGGAAAACTTTCGATATTTCTTCCAAAGTTTACGGGCTCTGCGATTTCGGGGCTTCGCTTTGCTTGGCTGGTTAGCAAAATAAGATGAGAAAAGAAAAAGGAGAATTATATAATATTATATTATTTTATTGTTGTTTGGCTTGCTGCATAACTTTATGGCAAACACTCCCGTATTTTTCTTCTTCTCCTATTTTTTGTTGGTAGCATTATCCTGGCCAAAGTTTCGCGGAGCGCAAATAAGTAGAAGCCCTGCCGCAGGAAGTCGAACTCCTCTGTGTGTGCGAGTATGTGTGTGTGTGACCCGTACGGCCATAACTTTGGCTCCATTTGCTGCGCCATTTTGCTTGCAGCAGCCAAATGGCAGCAAGTTGTGGCAGCTCGCAGATAAGCCAAACTATTTGCAGCATCACATGCGACTGTGCAAAGTGCACTTTAAATTCTTGCAAATGACTAAGCTGACTACTCTCGATGCTACTCAATAGATATGCCGGATTTGCATCCCTCTGGTCCTGCACCAGGTTGACTCTGAGCTGAAAATTGTCTTTGGCTATTGCTTCAGCTGAAGCTAAGGCTATATTTACCATTGCGGACTCTGATGCTACGTTCTGAGTTGGCAATTTAATGCTGAATTGAATGAATAACTTGCAATCAAAATAGATAGTATTTAAATAAATTTTAAATATATATAGAACATTTTATTTTTTTACATTTGTGTATATATGCAAGTTATAATAATAAAATTTAATTATATATTATATTAATACGACTATCTTATTTACACAAATATAAAAATAAAATTTTATATTATATTATGATATAAATTTAAAATTGTATTATTCATAAAAGAATTGGTATGGATTCGATCGTCTTCGATTGTGCCTAAAAAGTCGAGGAAATACAACAAAATATATAATAAAAAATAAAAAAAATAAATTTAATAAAAAAATAAATAAATAAAAATAGTACTATTAAAGTAATTAACTAAAAAAAAAATTAATTATTTTCGTAAAAAAATATAAAGAAAAAAACAAAAGTTTTCATCATGATAAATCCCTCTTACATTTCAATATGTTGATCAAAGGGTTTCTGTATTGAATAAATGCAAGGAGAGGATTTTTTTTTAAACTTTGTATGTAGCTTTGAGATGCTCAACCCAAATTATTTTCAATTATTAACAAATCTAAGGAAAGAATTTCTTACAAATTAAGCTAGTGCTTAGCAGCAAAAGAGCTGGTCTTATTCTATTATCAATATCTGCATCTTTATTTATTTAATAATTTTAAAAATGTTGACAGAATCGAAGTCAACTAAAATTAAAATTAAATAACCTACAAAAATGCAAAAATTTATTACAATAATATCACCAATCCGATATGCGTTATCCCTGATCAATGATAAATGTTAATTTTTAATATATGCAATATAAAAGTATATAACGAAAATGAAACAATTCACAAATCAACAATAATTCACACACAAAACTTCATATATGAACATTTATTTGAAAAACAATTTCCATTATAATTGTCCGCAATATGGAGGGTAATTATTTGTGGATTTATGGTCAACACTATTTGGCCTTAATGATGGCAATTGGCTACTGAATCACCGAGAAGCGGAAGTATTACGAGATCCATGGCATATGTGCCAAAAGTGCTGACTGCAATATGGTAAACATTTATATAAATTGCATTTATTTAAATGGCGGCGACAACAATTAATATGCAATAAAAGATAAATAAACAATAATAATGATGATGATGGTGATGATGATGCGCAATTATTGCTGCCCAAGTGGGCGTGTGCCAAAAGATTTATTGTGCCAAACGCACACACACACACACACACACACACGCACACACAGAGTCAGGAACTAATTTTCAAGGTCATTTGAATGCGCAAATAGAGACGCTGAGAGCGACTCGAGAGACTGAATTGACATTGGCAACGGCAGCAGCAACAGCAACAGCGGCAGCAGCAGCCATCCTTTTGTTGTTAATGTTTATGATAATCACAACAATAGGCCAGTTGCCATTGTTATTGTTAAATTGTTGTTGTTGTTGTTGTTGTTGCGATTGCTGCTCGAGCGTAACCCATAAATAGTAGACGCAGTCAAAACAATTGCACAGACGACGCGACATTTATAGACAATAACAAGGCAAATCGACGCAATCGATAGGCACTTTGATATGGCCCGCCATACAAAATGATCCACGCCTATCCCCCCTCCCCCTCCCCCTCCGCATACACAGCTGCAGCCTCTGGTCGCGTTGCCAACTATTGTCCGTGCTCTGTTGGCGTTGGCATTGGCGTTGTCCTTTTCGCAGGCGTGCTGCAAATGGCATAACTTCCGTTTTTGCTTTGTCGCTGAAATTACGGAAATTATCAATAAATATGCGAGACCAGCCGCGCCGCAAAATATAAACCTCCGCCCGCAACTACCCCAGCTACCCCAACTACCCCAAACTCCCCCCCGTCATCATCACTCCATCCATCTATCTATCTATCTATCTGGAGCTGCCTTTGGTCTCCCAGCAAAAATGCTTTTCGTGCTCGCCTGATTTTTATGCTGCATGGCGTTCAGTTTTTGTGCTCGCTGCTGCATGAACCGGAAGCATCATTATCATAAATTATCATTTTGTAGGAATTGCATCCGTTCTGACCCAGCAACAACAACGGCCGCAACAACAACATTGACCATTTCAATTGCCTCACTCCCATTACAATAACAAATTTCTGCATTTTCTGTATTGCGAGCGCCTCGCTTTGCGCATTGACATTCATTTAACGCCCAAAAATATTTTTCTAGTCTAATTTATGGTTTGACCAATGCGACCAATGGCCATATTTAAGTGATTTTGTTTTATTGTATTGCAGTCAAACCAATCGAAATTGCCTGGGGTACAATTTTTGCAAATAAAATTGCGGATAGAAATTAAAGCTGTTTTTTTTTAAATTGAATATTAAATTCTACATGAAAAATATTATT